TTCAGTGCTGATAAAATGGCTATTCTTTAATGCCTGCCAACTTTCATCTTAGTAAGCAGCAGCATCTACTAGATTTAAGATGAATTAAGGACATTTTGACAATTCTTGCACATGATGTCTCAAGTGTTCGCAAAAAGTTTTTTAACTGAAATAGCTCAATGTTTTTGGTCTTTGAAAAAAATTATATACTGATCACTTTGGAAACTAATGGAAAAACAGTCCATTTTCTACTTCTGTTATTTTCTTGTACTTTCAGAAAAAGATCGTTTTGGGACAAAGGATTCAATGAGGACATCTACACTATTTCAGGTCCATTTGGCCTTCTCTATACTAGTTCCTCCGCTGGATCAAGATCCCTAGAGCCCCTTCAGTTTTCTCTTCTGTCTGTGACCTGTTCTGGTCTAATGACTTACTCTAGCTCTCTGAAAAGGTGAAGCTCACAAATGACATAACATCGTAACAGAAATAAAATACTTTCCTTAGTTTGTTTTTTTTTTTTAAGAACAGAGCATAACAAATAGTGGCTTACACTGAACTTGTATTAACTAACCTCCCCCATATCTTTTCCTCAGCCCACCACCTAGTTAGGGCTTTTCCAATAAATACCTGCTGGGCCACTTTTATGACTTAAAACCTAGGACTTCACCCTTATTCTTGTTTATCTAATTTCATCTAGTTGGGTTTGGTCTGGCATCGTTATTGGACCAGGCCAACCTACTTTCTGAGAAGTTATTTCTCAAGACTAATTCCCTTTTGTACTAATTCATTTTAAGTTGAGAAATGGTTTACAGTTTAGGAACTTAAAAAACATAACAAGCCTTTTCAGTCTATGAAAAACAGAGCAGAGAGGGAAGAAGTTAGCTGCTGAGCCTATTTTAAATTTCTCCTATTGCTCTGGATGCCAACACAATTTCTCAAATACATATGAAAATTATCTACCCTTCATTTTGTTACACTACCACAAAGATATTAAAGCAGTTGTTCTTAATTAAAACCAATAAAACTCTGCATATTTCCAAGTCATCTTTGTTTTCTCATTGGCAAAATATTTGTGATATTATCTCCTTCATAGAATGGTTGTGGTGATTCTGAGATAACACATAAAAATGGTGAGTACACTGCATGTTTTATAGTAAATGTTTAATATATACTGGCGATTATTATTCAGCAACGTGCATTATGATTTTAACAAATTCACTTCTTTAGGTTTTCTTTTATACTGAACTAAAATATGGATCTTCCAAAGTCCCTATGACTCATGAATAAGAATAAAATGAAAAAGAAAATTTAATAGCCTGTCAATAAATACAATTAAAATGCTATTGTAATCCTTAAGGATTCTGAATCTCTGAACTACAGAACCCATAAAAATAATGAAAAATTTAAACACTTTCCAGAGCATTATCCTAAGGTGAGAGAATTAGCAGAAGCACAGCTGTTAAAATACAGAAGGTCAGTTAAGAACCCTATTCCTGGGGGAGAAGTCCAGCCTGGCTCTTCAGCCATTACTCAGAGTAGAAGGTAGCCAGCAGCACATCCTGATTCACTTCAAAAATAGATACTCCAGCTCAGCCTCCATAGCTAAGTGAGTAGGGTGCCAGCCACATGCACTGAGGCTGGTGGGTTGGAGCCTGGCCTGGGCCTGCTAAACAACAATGACAACTGCAACAAAAAAAGAGCCGGGCATTGTGGCTGGGCACTTATAGTCCCAGCTACTTGGGAGGCTGAGAAAAGAGAATCACCTAAGCCCAGGAATTGGAGGTTGCTGTGAACTGTGATGCCACGGCACTCTACTGAAGGTGACACAGTGAGACTCTGTCTCAAAAAAAAAAAGGCTATTCCTTTATATGTAATAGGACATGAAGAGTGAAACACTAGTGTTTATTAACCAGCACACATGCATTTGATTTTCACTTAAGAAATAAAGCCCATGAATGTAACATAATACACGGGATTTTCCAGAGACTGCATCACTATATTCTCTTGTCTGCTTTGCTGTTCTGACCAGGTCCTCTCCTCTATGATGAACTCCCAGCTACAGAGTCAAGCTCAGAAGGGTAATAGTTAACACAAGGAGTCCATGCCAAGTGCAGGCACTGGCAAGACTGGGAAGCTAACTAAGAGCCAGAAGCAGATGTCACTGTGGGTTCCTCCCTACTTTACAGAGATTCTATACTTTAATTTTAAAAGCATAAGGAATACAGCAAAATACACTGAAAAAAAATCTAGAAAAGTGTGTTAAAAATGCACTAATAGGAGAGGAGGGGGCCACTGACTTTTGTGTTTATAAAATGCTGGAACACAGGTGGCTTTAGTAGATCTTCCCATGGGAAGTGGACAAGCAATCCTAATCCCAGGGAAGGCTTCAAGGATATGCAAATTGTGCAGTCACAAGGGGTCCCGTGCACAGGAAGGCCCTACTCAGAGGAAGGGACCGGTATTTAGTTTAATTCTCTGTTTGAGCCAGAAACCTGAGTCATCTTCTCTCTGCCCACTCAGAATTCACTGACTACCTTCCAAATGTTCCTTCAAACTGTCCTCAAACTACCTCTTATTGACTCCTCTCCACATCCTCCTACTCTCAAACAATTTTGTAAGGTGACTGGTCTGTCTTTTTTTTTTTTTTTTTTGGCTGGGGCCATGTTTGAACCTGCCACCTCCGGTATAGAGGGCCAGTGCCCCACTCCTCTGAGCCACAGGCACCGCCCAGATGAATGGTCTTTCTTAACTACACATTGGCTCCTGCATGAAATCAGTTCCCTTTGTAAAGCAATCCTGTGACATCAGCATTAGGCAGTAATGACTGACTGTGGGCAAGGTGTTGTGGGCATATCATTCTGTTGGCTCAGCACCTTTCAGGAGCACCACTCCTCCTCTTCTGGAAACTCCCCACCATATCCCCTGTGGCAATGTCCTTCTCTTGTGAATTGACACCTGAATCAAACCAGGCAAATCAGAGCCTTCCTCCAGGACATTATGAGCATGAAGAAAGTTGCATGATGTCAAACCTACAAGCTGTCAGCATCCGTGGTCCCTGCCAAGTACAGAAAGCCATCAATACCCAGACAATCAGAAGCAAGAAGAGAATCTTAGCAGTTTGTGTTCCTGGTTCTAGCTTCTTGAGGCCCTGCTGGCATCTCTAATTTTTTTGTTTCATTTCTCTGTGTCAATAAATTCCTTTTTGCTCAAGTTAGTCAGTTATGTTTTTATCCCTTGCTGTTATATGTGACAAGGCACTGCATTGTTTGGTCCCTCCCAGTCACTTATCCTGTCTCCCCTTGCATTCTCACACACATAGTCTACCATAAAATACTTAACACTCCACTAATTCAACCTATTGTTTCACATCTCTGCCTCTGAACATAGCAGTTTCTCTGACCTCTAGTTCTAACATTGGGGTCATTTTCTCTGTGAAGTCTCTCTGAATCCCCTTAGGGGACAAGTAGCCAAGCCGTGCTTTCCGGGAGTCAGTGCCTAAGTTCAAGCTCTTATCACAATGTGTATGTGCTGCAAATGCCCACAAGGATGACTGACTTGTCCAAGATAATGGCAGTTGGCAGAGTAGTTAAGACCTTGGACTCTGGCTGGGTGCGGTGGCTGGCATCTGTAATCCCAGCTACCTCGGAGGCTGAGGCAGGAAGAATGCTGGAGTCCAAGAGTTTGAGATCAGTTTGGATGATACATAACAAGACCTCATCTCTTAAGGAAAAAACAAAAAACAAAAAACCTCAAAAATACAAAGAAAAAACATGGACTCTGAGCACACTTATAACAGTGCCCAGCACTTAGCTATTAGCAGTTATAATCACAATCCTTGAAAGCAGAAACTACATAAGCACCATTTTTTCATTCCCACCACTTGGCACACTGTCCCAAAGAATGACTACATGGGCATTATAAGTATTTGTTTGCTTGACTTTTAAAGTGCAAAAAGGACAGCTTTGCACACCTAACAGGTGTTCACGGGAGTAGTCATTTTACAGAGATTCAACCTATAGTTTGGTAAAGTAAGCTGGGCCTCCCCATCCTACCAGGCTGCAGCCAAAAACACTCAAGATTTTGCAAGCGCGCGAGGGGGTGGGGGTGGTAGGGTGGAATGGGAGGGGTGAAGGGTGGGTGTTCCTGAGTTGAAAAGGTTTACTGATTTCACTGGAGGTTAATCATGATTACTGAGCTTTGGAAAAGCTAACCTCAACATTTGTTTCCTGAGAATTGTCACAAAGCAGGTGGAAATGAAAGCCTTCCAGAAACTAAGCTATATGAGGTGATCTACTGCCAGACAAAGCAGCTAGTGCGTGCTAACATCCTAGTACTTTAAGATAAACTTAACTCGGGAGAAGTCACTGCCACTTATTTCTCAGCCGGTGACAGAACGCATTCTCTCCTATCCTAAGGATTTTGGGTCCACCCTAAGAATAAAGTATTTAAGCCATAAATTGTGGCCACAGGGTCAAATGCTGACCAGGAAACTCACAGTCATGTGTTGTCACTTAATGACAGGGACGGATACCTTCTGAGAAATGAAGAAATTCATCATTAGGCAATTTCGTCTTGGGGTAGTGTACTTAACACAAACCTAAAATACCTAGGCTATATGGTATAGCCTACGGCTCATAAGCTACAAGCCTAGACAGCCCGTTACTACACTTAATACTGAAAAAGTACAGTGAAAATATGGTATAATTTTACGAGACCACACCGTCCCACGCTGCCCAAAAGCGTCCTTATGAAGCGCATAAATATATTTAAAAATAGAGAAAGAGCCAGAGAAACTGAGAGGCGTGATTTCCAGAGGCTCGAGAAAAGCAACCAACGCCCGCAAACCACAGAGACCAGCCTGGCCTCCCCGGCCGCCCGCTCAGGGCCCGACGATGCGGTCGCGAGCAAGCGGAGCCGCGGAGACCCGAGGTGGCACCGCCGGGCGGGGCTTCCCGGCAGAAGCGGCTCCCGCATTGCCCTTCCGTCCCCACCCGGCCGCAGCCCGCCGCGAGCGACTGTACCCGAGGACAGCTCCAGAGCCGCGGCGTCCAGCTCAGCCCACCTCCAAGCTTGCAGAAGGGTTAGGAACACCACGAGAGCCATGCCGCCGCGGACGGACGCCACGTCCAACCCCGAGCCACAGAGGGCGATGCCCAGCTCAAAACATTACCCGCGCCGCGCGTCACTTCCGCCGCCGAAGGGAGCGGCGTGGGCGGGGCTGGGCTACGGCCTGGGCGGGGCTGGGCTACGGCGGGGGAGGGGCTCCTCGCTGTGGACACGAAAGTCTGTGGTTGTGTCCTGGGCTCTTGCGTCTGGGTAACTTGCGTCCAAAGGTTACGTTCTTTGGGTTTGGCACCATATTCTTTGATTCCTCTTCCTGTTTTTGTGGTGTTCTAGGGTAGAACTTTGCGTTAGGCCACAACAGGGGCACAATACTTTATTAGACTTGGGCACCTAGGTATCTTAGAACCTGAGAGGTTCAGGGGTTGGGGAAGGGGAAGGGAGAAGGGCGGCTGGGTGGTGGGAGGGTAACTGGAAAGATCACCTGTATGGTCTAACAAGGGTACAAGTGAACTTTTCTAGAACTAGAATATAAATGTTTTGACACAATGACTAAGCAAATGACATGAAGTCTATGTTAACCAGCTTGATGAAAGTGTTTCAGATTGTATATGAAAACACTACACTGTACCCCATGTTTGCATTAATGTATACAGCTATCATTTAATAAAAAAAAATTAAAAAAATAAAAGAACCTGAGAGATTCTAGAAGAGCCTTTACAGCCCTCTTCCAGTCCCTTTTTATTTAAGGACTTAAGGCTTAAATGGTTTGCACACTCCCACAGAAAATCAGAGCCAATTGGTTTGGCCAAGAACTACTTTATTCTTGGAGAAAAAGCAACCTTGCATGACCTTTTCAGCAGCGCTGGTGCTCCACATTGCCCCTTACTCAACTTGGTTTTTGTCATAGCATTTATTACCACGTAGAAATTCTGCTGGAAATGTACATACACACACATACATATATTCATATACATGTTCTCCACAAATAACTACTGAAATTCTAGTCATAATTGCCAAAGACTGCAACAGGATTACAAGAGCATAAACAGAGACTTAATCTGAGATTTAAGGAAATTCATATATGTGTATGGATGTATATATAAACATATGTATATATATAAATTTTTCCAGGCTTGGCACCTATGGCTCAAGTGGCTAAGACCTCAGCCACATACACCTGAGCTGGTGGGTTTGAATCCTGCCTAGGCCTGCCAAACAATAATGATGGCTGCAACCAAAATATAGCCGGGCATTGTGGTGGATGCCTGTAGTCCCAGCTACTTGGGAGGTGGAGGCAGGAGAATTGCTTGAGCCCAGGAGCTGGAGGTTGCTGTGAGCTGTGATGCCACAGCACTCTACCCAGGGTGACAGCTTGAGGCTGTGTCTCAAAAAAAAAACAAAACCTTTTTTTCCAATTGTCTCTCTAGTCCACTTTTCTTTACTGCCATAGCCCCTGTACCTTGACAAGTGCCTGTCATTCCATTCATATTTATTCAATGACTATATGAACAAAACAAGCTTGTAAAAAGGTGTGGGACTGAAGCAGGTGTGGTTGAATTTATGATGATTAAGCTATCATTGGGTCACTGAGGAAAATCTGGACATGTTTGGGCATCATACTGGTATAAAAGAAAGCACTATTCACTCTTGTCCTGCATACAGCTCTTTTCTTACCTGTCATGTTGATATGTGATTATATCAGACCAGTGCCTGACTCAAAGGAAGTTATCTGTAGACAGCCATGTCTTCTAGTAGATAGCTTAGAGCACTGCCTAGAATAGAAGCCACATGTTGCATGGTGACTGTGGCTGACGTTGTTCATTAGTTGAGCACTAACAGCTTTTTTCAGTCCTCTTCTACCTTTATGCCTTCCCATTATAGAGGCTATAAAAGCTCAATGCTCAAGTGTGGTCCAATAACATAGACTTGTTCAATGAAACTCAAGCAGAAGTGTGTGTGTGTGTGTGTGTGTGTGTGTGTGTATGAGTGAGATGATCGCAGGGCATTCTGGTAGACCATTTCCTTTCTCCTAGCAGGGACAAATGCTACAGGATGTGCAGCTGGCCTTGGCCCTTTTCCAGTCTTCTTGCCTTGAATGTAAATCCAATGATGCCCAGATCTGCAGCAGCCATCTCGCAACTCCAGGGGCACAAGGTTGAAGATGAAAAGCCAACAGCTACCCATGGAAGACAAGGAAGTTAGAAAGCCTAAGACACCAATGTCATCTATGAGCAGTTGAATCGATGCCTGTGACTGCCTACTTCTGGCTTGTTAAGAGAGAAAAATAACCCCCTTTTGATTTAAGCCACTGTCAATTTGATTTTCTATTAATTATGCTGAAGTTTTTCCTTAGTCAATGTCGGTCCAACCTAAATAAGTTCTCAGGGAGTAGGAATATAAACCACAATGCAGAAGAGAACAGGTAGGGGGAAAGGGAGAAAAGACAAACAGCAAACTCAAACTTCCAGAATGCAGAAGACTAGCATAGCAAGCAAAGGAGATCCCTTATTGAGAGGTGAACAAAAGGCCCAGGGCGTGCAGCTGCAGAGGCTTCAGAAATGGTCTGCCTTGCCGCTGTTCCTGGAGACCAGCCCACTGCTGAGCCTTTCCTGGTCTGACTTTCCCACATAACCATACCAACATCCCTTGTCACTAAAGGCAATCTGAATGTCTCCGTTTCTTACCACTAAAAGGGCTCATCTAACACAATTTCTAGCCATGGACAGTCAGTCTGATAAAGGGCAGCTACCATGTTCTTTTAGAAAATGTTTCTCTATTTTTTTCTTTCTTTTTTAAAAAATTCAGTCTTGTAGAGACCATCAAAACTTGCCACTGCCACCTATATGGCAAGTTATCAAGGCCAGGTATGGGGAAAAGTTTTCAATTAGCAATAATCGAGCCTTGGATAAACCTCACTGGCTATGATACTGCTACTGTGCAAAGCTAGAAAACATTTCTCAACATCATAGGAAAGACTGGGCTGGAGAAACTGTCGCTACAAGAGGGCAGCATCTGTAGCTCAGTGAGTGGGGCGCTGGCCACATACACTGAGGCTGGCAGGCTCGAACCTGGCCTAGGCCAGTGCAAACAACAATGACAGCTGCAACAAAAAATAGCCGGGCGTTGTGGCAGATGCCTGTAGTCCCAGCTACTTGGGAGGCTGAGGCAAGAGAATCGCTTGAGCCCAAGAGTTTGAGGTTGCTGTGAGCTGTGACTCCACGGCACTCTACCAAGGGCAACAGCTTGAGACTGTCTCAAAAACAAAACAAAACAAACAAAAAAAAACCACTCTTGCTAAAAGAACTGAGCAACCTAAAGAAGCATCCAATTTGTCCTCCAGGCCTCATCACTTCCTCTTTCATTGTGTCTTCCCCTCCTATCTATGTGGCTTTCTTAGTACACACCAGACACCAAAGCCCAGTGCCCTCTTGCTGCTTCTCAGATGTCCAGGGTCCTCCTACCTGGAGAATACCTAGAACAGCCCTGATTTGCAAGGCTTCAGCTGAGGGCTTCTCAACATCCTGATCTTTATCTGCTCTAGGTAAACAGTTCTGTAGTCTATAGGCAGATGCCGTTAGATGGCTCCATGTAATGATAGACGAACAAATTAATTTATCAACACTGGTATTTGATTACCATTTTGAGGTTAAGACTCCTAGGTATTTTGGCATTGTAACAATTCTTAACTAGCCAAACAATGGGTTTCCAACAGTGACATTGGAGGTCATGACCAGAAAGTAGAGAATAAGATATATTGCTCCGGGAAAAAAGATCTTTTGGGTACCTTTCAAAATGTGATATGACAGGTGATTTTCTAAAAGGCAGGAAATATCTTATACTAGTCACCACAGATTAGCAATTCAGAGACTACATTCAGTCAACAGACATGTTTTGTTTGAATAGCAGAGAGGATTTCATTTTCACTGGTTTTAAGCAAGGCATGTATTCCTCTTAACTTTTTAATATCTGCCTTTACTACTATTATCTTGAATGCTAAGACTAGTTTCTAGAACAGAGCAAAATATTATTTATTTATGACAAATAATCATGCCAGCTCCTTTTTGTTTCAGTTCTTGCCCCTGGGGCCACTCAATGAGATTCAGATGTCATCCTACATGTAACAGTGTTTACTGTGGACACTGTTTGGACACCCTCCAAAATGAATCTAATCGTTGTTTTTTCTTTCTTTCTTTGAGACAGAGTCTCACTCTATTGCCCTGCGTGGAGTATCATGATGTTACCTTAGCTCATAGTAACCTCAGACTGCTGGGTTTAAGCGATTCTCCTGCCTCAGTCTCTAGTAGCTGAGACTACAGGTGCCTGCCACATGCCTGGCTAATTTTTTCTATTTTTAGTAGAGGCAAGATCTTGCTCAGGCTGGTCTCAAACTCCTGAGCTCAAGCAATCTGCCTGCCTCAGCTTCCCAGAGTGCTAGGATTATAGGCCTAAGTCACTGTGCCCAACTTCTGGCTGATGATCTTAAAAGCATCAACAATGCCGAAAAGAAAGACAAACATCACGTTCTTATAAGGCCATGCTCCAAAGTCATCGTCTGGTTTCTAACTGTGATGATGAAGCATGGTTACGTTGGCGAATTTGAAATCATTGATGATCACAGAGCTGGGAAAATTGTTGTGAACCTCACAGGCAGGTTAAGCAAGTGTGGAGTGATCAGCCCCGGTTTTGAAGTGCAACTCAAAGATCTAGAAAAATGGCAGAATAATCTGCTCCCACTTCTCCAGTTTTGTTTCATTGTACTGACAACTTCAGCTGGCCTCGTGGACCACGAAGAAGCAAGAGGAAAATACACAGGGGAAAATCAAGAGATTTTTTTTTCTAGGGATGTAATACATACTGAAAAATAAAATGCCTCAATGGAAAAAGAAAAGGATGTGCTCACATCTAGACCTTTAGAAAGAATTGAAATGCACTAAGTTTGTGTGAATGAAGAATTTATAATATGATTTTTTGGATTAGAAAGCAAACAAAAAGACAAAGGTAATTTTTTACTACTCCACGTTACACAAAGACTAATTTTATCTACCAGAAAATTTATCATCTAAAAGTTGTGTTAGTTTTGTCACAGAAATCCTAG